TGGGGATTCTGGGCTATTTACCTGTAACTTTCCTAACAGAGGATGAGGCTGGCAGCTTGACTATTAAGGAACTTTAAGCAGTCACTCTGGCATCATTAATCCTTATCTCTCCAAATGCAAATTTCATTAGAATCTGAAAGTAATCAAATGACAAAGCTGGGGGGCTGGGATGGAGGGTAGGCAAGTCCCATTCTCCAAGCTTTCTTCTGTTTGTGGTGATTCCCACAGTCTAAACTATATTCTTTGTAAACTGCTTTGTAAAGCGGTATACCAATTCTGTTAAGTAAAATAAATATTAATTTGTTGTGCAGTATAATTAGTAGCCCCTTCGAAACATGGATAGAACAGCAACAGCACAACAGGCAAGGCAGTATTTTATGTTTCACCAGCACTAGTCAGGACTGCAATTTCTCAAAGACTTCTCGCTGCACAGGGGAGACATCTCGTGGCCAGCCAGATAGGTAACTAGCATCCCTAGGTGTTAGTATGGTAAACAAGGGAAGGCTGATTGCGATTAGGCTGAGCTGAAGTAGGGTGCTTTTGCTGTTTTTATTGCCCTTTGAAGTAGTTTTCATTCCAGTGATTTCCCCCCCAAGGGGATCTTCGGTGCCCACCCCCAGCAATAGATTGGGTGCTCATGAAATAAGGCACCCCCCCTCCCAGCACACATTTGGCACCTTAATGCATATGATTAGGTGGTGAGGGCAAAGTGCAGCAGTGCCTCAGGGCATGCCCAGAACAGAAAAAGCAATGAATGGCAGGGTAGGAGTAACTTGAGTGTAGAACCAAAAAGCCCTCCAGAGTCATTCCAGCAACCTCCATCTTCTAGTGTGAGTGGCAAGCAGTGGAACAGCAATGAATAGCCATGACTGGGGGGAAACAAACAGGAATGTGTGGAAACTAACATGTTGAATACACACATAGCAGTCTGATCTGAAATGCCTATTGGCCCGCATATGGAAGCACCCAAAGACAGCATTCTGCTTGGACCAGCACCCTAAGAGGCAGCAGAGATGGAAGGAATCTAATTACGAATAGGGTGTGAAGATGCCAGATGCTGGATAGACATGCATAGAGTGAAACTGCATTACAGAGAGAAGTTAGAATGCCTGGTTCGCATTGCTGTAAAATGGTGTGGGTACCTGAGTGAGAACTAGGAAGAAATTGAGTAGTTTGAAGTACAAGTATTAACTATTCAAAGGTGGGATGAGTGGTGGAAATTCCAAGGCACTGCAGTGAATACAAAAACCATCCTTAGCACTTGGATGCAGAGGATTACTTGAGCCTTTATGAATTCCTAAATGCTCAGACATTCTGGCGCTCTATATAGAGAGACCTCTAGGGAAAAGGCAATGAAGGGTGGGTGAGAGTTAGCCAAGCTGTTGTAGGTTTCTTTAAAACCTACAGAACAAGCTCTGTGATGAAGGGAGATGCATGTTCTCTGCACTTATCCTAGATTCCTATCTATCATAATGTAAACATAAGCAAAGTCTGATAAAAGAACACCTTGCAGTATCAAAGTGGTCAGTATTTTCATGTGAGACACATGATCAGAGTGACATCTTGTGGCCAGTACCTGGAAAAGCTTAAATTTCTTAGTGGGTTTATTTTATGTGAGTTGACAATGGTACGCATGTAACTCATTAAACTCATGAGCAAAATCTCTGGTTCTTGGACAAGTCTAAATTTATACTTTTTATTTCAGGTTTCAACTCTCTGGTAGGAGGAATAATGGGATTCTCCATACTTATAAGTGCAGAGGTTTTTAAACACAATGCTGCTGTTTGGTACCTGGATGGAAGTATAGGTGTTCTAATTGGACTGACAATATTTGCCTATGGAGCGAAGTAAGTGAAGTTGTTCCTTTTTTCACCTTATTCTTTGTGTTTGCATGCTTAACAGATACTGTGATGATCTGTTCCTTGTATATGAGGCTTGAGGCATGGGTAGCAACCTCAACACCATTTCCTGAGATGTTGCACTTACTTTGCTGTGGTGTATCGTCAATATTTACCATTGCCCTTACTACCTTATTGCTACAAAGTTTCATTGCTTAAATATCAATGTATTGGGTGACTTACAATTGCATGCCTTGCTTAGAACACCTTTTAGAATCCACCTTATCAAAATCTACTTTGCAGTGGTTGAGCTCTGGATAGAATACAAAGATATATTCTCAAAAATCTTCCAGCACCATTGTCCATGATTTTCTGCTTACAACTTGTGACTTTTGTCCTTCATCAACATGTGCTTTCATTTCCAGACTACTTGTGGACATGGTTCCTCGTGTACGGCAAACACGTCATTATGAAATGTTTGAATAAAGACAGAGCACCATGGACTTTTGCAAAATGTGATAACGTACTACATCCTGGCAAATGGTGCCAATTATATTTACAAGATTGCACTTTGTTTCTCATGGTATATTTTCTTTTTACATTATCTTTCCAAGAAAAGGTCAATCTGTACAATTAGGCAAATATGTACACCGCTTAGATCTTGGCAAAAGTAGCAACAAGCAGCCGTTTTCTTTTGTGTGTGCTATTTAAAATCCTGCAAATGGTAACTGAGACGAGCAAAGTGCACAGTTCTAATCAAGCCGCCATGTTTTGTCTTCTGGAATATTAAGAGTTCTTCAACACAACAGATGCCTGTATAAAGGAGCCAAACCCGAGAGGGCGCAGCCACAGTAGTCTTTTACCATGGCACCTTAAGGACTAACAGGTTTATTGTGGCATGAGCTTCTATAGACAAGAGACTACTACTGCATCTAATATAGACAAGAGATGGCCTTTAGTTACGTTGCCACCAGCGTTCCAGAATGTGCCAGCAAGTGAGACATTCCCAATGTCTTCTGCACAGAACTCAGTGGTATTGTACTTAGCTTATGGGGGCCAACAGACACTTCTTGATGCATGGAATTAATCCCCACCCCACCAGCTTCAAATCAACTCCCTTTCCCAAACTGCTCCATTTTTAAATTCAAAGAATCTAATGTGAATTTCATACTATTTTCTAAAATTCTCTGCACTGCATAAATATGAAGCAACACATTATGAAATATATTAAGTTGCACAGACAAAATAAGCACAAGGTGTTAATGTACAGGCAAAAGCCAAAAAAGCAAGAGGGGGTAGTTTTTGATTATATGTCTATGGCTGTATTATGCACTTATGTAGCGGTATATATGGGTAAATACATGGGTGTCCTGTTGTCTGGTAAAAGTGATGGTTTCAAGGTGGTAGTAAGATAGCCTTTCTACTGTTAGTTAGGCTGTTCTGTAGGTGTTCCATGTTCCCACCCACCATCTTATGTAATTTAATATCTGGATTACAAGTTATGACTCCCATCATGTAAATCAATAAAGCTGTTACCTATTTTATACAGTACCTGTAATTAACCTTTAAAAAAGCTCTCTAGATAATACATTAACAATACAATCTATGTAATTATTTAAAGTTAAGTCCTGCTGTCTTCAGTGGTGCTTACTAACTTGTAAGTGTGTTCAAGATTGCTTCCTCAATAGAACAAGTCGTCTTGTAGAAAAGCCCTCTGAAATGTTGCTGCCATTTTTTCAGCCATGAAGCCATTTCTACATGAGTTTAACATTTGGTGAGTATGCAGAAATTATCAAAACATAAATTCGTACCTCTTACTGTTTTGATACTGCATTTTGCAAAGGTCGAAATGAGACGTTTACCCAGGCAGCTGCTTCCACAGAAATACGTATGTGGAATAAAAGCTTACATATACAGTAGTCACATACTGAGTAGCCAACACAGCAGCTCCTCTACCCTTCTTTTATATGTTTTTTCTTACACCTGCTATATAGTAAATCTGCGCAGAACTCAAAATTTGAGACTGATGGTAGTAGGTGTAGGCATTAAACATTTTTATTTTAAAAAAATGCTTATCTCCAATTAAAAAACACTGAAGTGCAATTGCCTGAAACTGCTTGTTGAAGGGTGTCTGACAGTGTTAACAATGAAGTTCATTCTCTATGTGACACCTTACCACCTCAGAAATGAGGATTCTCGTAATAAATCAGGTCTATAATCTCCTCCAGAGAAACCCTGTTAAACACATTTGGCATCTAGTCCTCTACAGCAACATATGGGGTCAGTTGGTAGAAATGATGCAAATATTTTCTCCCACTCTAGGAGGGATCTGTTACAAAAAAGAGTCGTGGATTCCAAGCAATGAATTGGCCAGCTAGCTTTCTCTGCATAGAGGACTTTTCCTCTAGGAATTCCTTCTGCTCACAGAATAAAAGCTTAGGATCCCAGCTGTGTGTGTGTGTGTGTGTGTGTGTGTGTGTGTGTGCTCGGCATGGTTAAATAAAGATCCCTTGGTGTACACAGCACGGATTGCCAATATGGTACCAGTGGGCATACATGTGCCAATAGAGGTATTCCCAGAAGGCCACAGCATCTCCTCTCCCAGCCTTGAAAGAAGCATTGATTGTATAGCAAACGGAATAGTCGCACCATGCATTTAGTTAGTGCCCATAAGCCCATAAGCAAATGTATCAACAGGCCCCAAGAGCTTGGTACAAAATGTACCAAGAGCTGGCAGCCCCGATGGTGTATAGATTAATTGGTATTGCCACTGATATTCATACTTGGGCACATATTTATGGCTTCTACTGTTTTTCTGACGCCTTTGTTTCAGGCATACAGAGCTTGTGCTGTGAAACCATCAACCAGGCCTCACACCCATATGTGTAAGGCTGATTTCATGACTTTTATAGCAGGGGAATATTAGTTGCATTGGCAAGATAGTCTATTATACAATGTAACTATCCCCCTTTTAAAAAAACACACCAAAAGCAGAAAAATGAAAGCAGAGAGGTTCAATTCTTGAAAGAGGGAAAAGTGTGCTTTTGGCTTCCTCTGTTTTAGTAACTATCAGAGTCATTTATAAGAAAACTCTGATCTTAATTTTATTTTCAAGCAGTGTGGTTGGTTGGATGGAAGAAAGAAAGGGTGAAAACAACGCAGTCACACAAGAAAAAGTTTATTGAAAAATAAAATTTTCCCTAGTTTGCCCTACAACAGTTGGTGGGGGTGGGGGGTGGGGGAAGGAAGCATTGTCAGCCATGAGAATACAGACATATTTACACCTTGGTTTTAAGTTTCCCATGTTGTTAATCTTCTAATTTTACAGTTACTTGCTGTGAAGCAACCTGCTTAAACAAAATATAACGGAACACAATTTAAGAAATAAAACCCCCGCACAAAATTTCAAGCATGTATTGTTTTAAAAAACATAATCAGTGCTCGTGAAACAGATTAAAATCCTTATTAAACCTTAACCTACTACTCCGCTGAACAATACTCAGAACTCGGAAGCTAACACTTTACTTCTCATTACAAACAATGTTTTCACTTTCAATGTTATATTTATAGAGATAGTCAGTGACTTGCTATTCTCTGTTGCACACTTCTGGAAAAAACCCACTACTTACTTTTTTTAAGGGTTTCTCTTACTAGCCAAATGTTAATGTTGTGATCTTGACCCCTGGCTGTGGACTGCTTAGCTTATTTTAGTGAAACAGGAGAGTGGTGAATATATGTACTACTCACTGCTTTCTGTTCTAAAAAATGGGACAAGTCTAAGTTGGGAGGTAAGCTTTGTTTTGTTGATTGCTTAGAACCCGGGTTTCAGTAAACTATGCAAGCCTTCTGCATGGCTTGCCAGTACCTCTCAGTGGGGCGGGTGTTACCGATGCATTATGTAGGTGAAAGAATTTACATACACCTGGCAAACAGTCCTTGGAACTGGTAGGTTTCTTTCCTTTGAAAAGTCATATTGTAAACTATTTGCCGTGTGGCATTGGGTTCAAGGAAAAGTTTAATTAGGACTAGCAATTCAAAGTGTCCCATAAACACCTACTGCTATATACAGCATATAGCCAATTCTAATATAAGAAGTCATTTTCATAATTGTAGTAGTGGGGGGGGGTCACTTGATACAAACACACTCCAAATGGTGGATTGTTAAGCAAAGCTGGTACCTTCATGTACACATCAATACCAAGGAAATTAATTCGTTTATATAAATATAAAACGACAGGGCATAGTTAAGTAGCATCATTCAGTGTCCTGAATATATAGTACTCGGTAAGATATAATACTAAGGTACATCCATCTTGTATATGCTATTTCTATAGCATAACACATATATATATACACACACTTTAACATTTGCAATATATTGGCTGACCTTCCTACCTGCTCTGTTATATAGTCAATTTATGCACAATATGTTCAGTCTTTACTATGGGAATTTTACATCCAGAAGAGATTTAGAAAATTTTAGAATAAGAAGCAGCAAAGCATGAGCAAAGCATTAGACTCAGTATAAGAAGCTTAAGGTACTGGAAATCAAATCCAGGAGACGGGGGTAAATAGAAACAAGCACAGATAAGAGAAAGAGATCAGTACTGGCCATTAGAACCCAATTGTTTACAGCAGATGGAATGTGGAAGTTGCTGCAGGTGTGAGTCTTATGTCTGAAGTTCTCCTGCTGCATTAGTTTTCCATATGCAACTTGTTCAGCCACTGTGAGAACAGGATGCTGGACTAGATGGGCCATTGGCCTGATTCATCAGGCTCTTATTTTATATGCTAGTCATGTATGCTGTGTGGTCTGATTCCACATTTACATTCACTCCACAATAGCTGCTACCTATCCTAGTAAAACAAAGAACAACAGAGAATGCTCAATTGAAACTAGACAGTAATTTTAGTTGCTTTAAATTGATTCTGACTGCTTAACTGTGGTTGTTAAAATATCTGCACTTAAGCATAGTGAGAGTAGTTTGGCCTGTTTACTTTGTATCCAGTACACTCCTGGTTTGGGAAGTGGTGTGCACATGTTTAGCTGCAATTCATATCTGCCCTGTTGTTTCATATAAAATGCTGCATTCTGATGTGCTTTTCCCTAAACCAGCTTTGCTCCAAAGTGAGAAAAAGAAAGCCCTAGCTGCACTGTGAGCCATGAGGAGGATTTTTTTTGTCCCAGCCGGAACTCAGTTCTGGCACCTCTCAGGTGGGTGCCATTGCCATGATAAGAGAACAAGGGAGGTGTTCAGGGTGAGTTCCAGCATCTTTTTCTATAAAAATAGCACTAGCCATCAGCAAAGCTTCTTAAATAGCCACTCTCTTGCTATCCAGGTGCTGCTAGACTCCCAAATGCTATCAGCACTGACTGGCGACAGCAGTGGTCAGGTATAATGGGACTGCAGTAAAAGCTGGAGGACCACCAGGTCCACAGCACTGCCTTAAGGCAATTTCTAGTTCAAGCACCTGAGTGACTATTTACTAAGTTTTCTGCAGAACAAGCCTAATTATTCTTGCAACATTATAAGCAGGAGATTGTAATTTCAGTTATTTTGAATTAGTCTCGTTTCATGTGGAAGGAAGGTTAACGTGATACAAATTGGCCTGGGTTGGAAGGATGCACCTGTTCCTGAATTTCCTTGCAAGGTGGTTCTGGTGGAAGAGAATGCAGAAAAGACCTTGAAAATGTCTCTTTCTGTGTACCTATGCTATTGTAATGTGATGGCACCGATAATTTAAGTTGGAATGGTACTTTATTAACTCTAAAGTTATTGATAAAAAAAATTAAGCAAAAAGACCGTCTATAAAAATGGTGTATAGGGTTCCTTTAGCAAAGCGGAAACCACACCAATCATTTAAAACTGCTGAGAACCAATCAAAGTAAAATAATTGCTATAGCATCTTTGTATGGTTTCATATTAGGTGTATGGTAGGGGAATTGGGTTCAAAGAGCACCTAATCATGCTGTTAACAGCAAAACACCCAGCTTTTTTTTTTTAAAAAGGAAAAAGCCATTTGATAGATTAAGATGGATTGTTGGAAGATGCCTCCCTTGAATAAGACTTTTTTTTTTAAAGGTTCTTATTGTGGATGAAAGATAATATTTTTATCAAAGGGTGCAAGGGACCAGCTATTACTAAGTACATTAATGGGCTATGGACAACTCTGCATGTTGATACTTAATTTTTTTAAAAACAAACAAACTTGCATGACAATTGCAATTGCTTGTTGCATTTGACAACAGCCATCTAGAGCACCGCATATAATCAAAGCTAGAGGACGTACTGCATAACCAGCTTAAAACACCTATAAATGCCTTCTCAACAATAACTCTCTTCACTTGTTGCACTAAATAAACAGGAGTTACCTAGAATATGAATGGCCTCTACTTTGCCCAAAAGGCTGGAAGCAATGATCTAGTATTGTATGAAACCTATTGAGATTTATAATCTTCAGGCATAACCCATCACAATTACTAGTACTAACATCCATTGCGAATGCACAGTGATTTTGTAGCAGTCACGACACCCTTTTCAATTCAGAACCTGTATAAAGGCTATTCTTTCTTTAGAAAGCTCACTGTCAAAAATACAAAAACAAAGGCACTAATTACGGGGAGGCCACTGCATTATGTAGTTAATTCAATTGTGTGCCTCAGAACTTTTGCAACAAAAGTTATTGGGGGGGGGGAACGTAGTGAACTGTCCCTGAATTGCTCCCAAGTCCATTTTTTTAAAACTAAGCAGCCTGTCAGACAACCAGTGGGCATCGTACCATCAAGGTATAAAATGCTGAATGATTAATTACAATGCTAAATACATTTTTATCCCCGGTTACAAATGGAAATTTCCATAGACTTTTCAGAGAAATTGATTTAGGGGCTACTTACACACACTAAAAATTCTCCATATTGGACAGCTATATAACCAGAGCCACACTGACAAAATAACATGCGAGTGTTCAGTCATGTTGGTAGGCAAGGTTCTTCTCTGTGGCAATTTGTAAAAAGAAGGAAGCCCAGTGCTACTCTGATTACAAATGTCACCACTTTTAAATTTATCCTGTAGTATATCTGACTCTATTTGTAAGGAAGTGCATAGGTAGACCCATACAACACCAGTCTTTGTGCACTTGCTTGCTTGAGGAGGTTAGGCTGCTCCTTGTGACTTGGTGTTAGGCTTCTGATAATCCTTATTCTACAAGAGTGGTGCAAATGTTAGAAGCACATAGCATGCCATGGTAGCTGTGTGAACTTGAGCTAGGGGACATGAACACTCTGATGCTACAGGGATGAGCAATTACACCTCCTTTGAAGAAAAAGAGGAGGGGACTTGTCTCCCTAAACAACTTCTTGAGTGCTCATGTTGGTCAACCTTACATACGACTAAATGTGAAGAACTTAACAGGAGCACCTTCATACCTGCGAAAGTTTGTGCTAAGAACTTCATTTTCTACAAGAAAATAACCTATTCAAAAGATCATGCCAGTGAAGTACTAGTAATTTATAGAAGAACATACTGAACTGCATTCTTTTGAGAGAGAGAAAAATCATGTACATACCAATTTACATTTCTAGTTCTTTGATATTGGACGTCAGCAATTTCCTGTCACTTGGAACATGAAAAGTAAACTACCAACCATTTAAGATCAGGCAGATGGGCATTAGCTAACTATATTCTCTCCTCCCTCCTTTACTAAGATTTAGCATGGATAATGCATCATATATAAGCGCATTGTGTTTAGACACAAACATTCAAGTACAAATATCAATAGGTAGCATTCTCTTTGAGTTGTTGCAGCTTGTAGTACGTACTTTTGCTTTGTCTTTTTTCCAATATTAAAAAATACTCTTTATAAATCATACCAATATTTACAGAAAGTATATAAATCCTCAAATTAGTGTTCCATTATAATTGCTCAGGCAATGTTCACATCCCAAACACACAATTAATTTAAAATAAAAAATAAAATAAAAGGCACACATATTAGCAGAATGTGCTTCAACACTGCCATGCAGAAACCAACCCCCCCCCAACCACAACTGCTTCTATGAACCACAAGAGAGACAAATGATCAAAACTAGGTGAAATGTACTGAAAAGCATACCTATTTATAGATGTGCAAATCAACTTGCATATATGAAATAAATGAGGTTTTTATTGGCATTTTTAAACAGTGTATTCAATCTTTACCTTTCAAAGGTAAGCTTTAATGTTAAAGTTCTTTAAAAATAAATTATGTAAATGCTTCTCTCAGGTTTTGGTGATCTCTCAGAACAAGATTTCTTTTTAAAAAAAATACCAAGTTACAAACTTATAAAATAAGGGGGAAAATTTTGATATATGAAGATGCTTCTAGCATGATGTGTTCTTTCATTTTATTTTAGACTTCAGGGAGCTCCATGAATTGTACCCCACTACACCCAAAGCCAAAACCTGCCAAAATGATTTGCAATTCTATTTATCCCCTTAGATCTCCTAATAATCCTGAAGTGAAATGCCACATTTCTGCATTTGAACTTTTAAAAAATGGTCCAGGTTTCAGTCAAGGAAGGCATTCCCCTCAAATATACCTATAAGTTTGTCTGGCTTTAATGAAAAACGACCTTAATCATCACCTGCCATCTGCTCTTTATGCTGGCAGAGGATTATGAAGGCATTTGTTTTCAATGTGTCCTTCATTAAAGGTATCCATAGAGATAGGTTTGAAGAAAAACCTTCTAGATAGCCTGGATCATGGTACAAGTTTAATTTGCTTCCACATTTCGATGCTAAAAAAGTGTGAGGCCCACTGACCCTGTACTAACTACAACATGGTTAGATGAAACTCTTCTTTTGTACCATCTACCAAGTCTTCATAGTAAACACCATAATAAGGCTAATACACAAATTCATTTCTCTTCCACAATTACTGTTATTTAAAAAAAACGCAGCTATGAAATAACTGGATGAGCCTATCAAAGGTCTGATCCTATTCTCAGTGATATCATAAAACACTTGAAGAAATAATGGGAGACCATGTCATATGCAGAGTAAACCCAATGACTTGAAGTTAGTCATAACTTAAGTCCATTCATTTCAGTGGCCTGCTCTGAATACGGCTTACTCAGATACCACCCTACAATAATGTTATCAATTATACCTTCTCAGTACACCGCCACTCATTATAACCACATAGCATTTTTTTTTTGGGCCAACATACAGTATGTCTAAACTAGCAATTTACAGATATACCCCCTGCTGAAAGACTATGTTATTCATTGCACCAACAAACTAACAAAACTCAAATCCTTCTCTTGGGGTTCGTTTGATGCTATGTATGAAAACAAAAACACATTAAAAATGTTGCAATAGAGGACAAAATCTATGTTATTGTTGAAAGAAAAATATCTAAGCAAATGATCAGATTTGTAAAATTGTATATTGATGTTTAATTTATATCTTTCTCTGGAGAAGAAATATTAGATTGGAACTGGCCCTGTTACTAAAGCCAAACTAATCTGAATGTGCTAAGATGCATTTACAGCACATATATTCTCAAACATTTTTGCTGCAGCAGCAATTGGTAGTGCTTTGTTTATTGCCAGGTCTAGTTTGATGACGGTCTGTCCTCATAAAGAACACATTAGAATAAAAAAGTCAATCACCAACAAGGGTATCAAAGTTGAAGAGTGATCATTTTTAAAAGGAAGGAAGGAGGGATGGGCTCCCATGTACTTACAAGTGCGGGGCAGAAACTGCTTGGTAACTTAACACACAAGGCTAGATTCCAAGTGTTAACTATTACAGAAATCCAAGACATCACACAAAAGCCAGTCACAAGTTACTGGAATTTGGGCCAGCCACTGCTAATTTTTAATCCTATGCACATACAATTAAAAGTTTTTAGTCTTGTCAAACATTTCTGGAGCTATGCCCTGCTGATATGAAATAGTTCTTAAAAAAGAAAGAAAGAAAGACTCTATCTCAATGATTTGAGAGAGGTCTTTTCCCTTATGGTCTTTGGTATGTCAAAAGATACTTGAGTGCTTCCCACAATAAACAGTGAATGCCAAATAATGAATTAAGTTACATTACAAAAGAACAGAAAGGAGTGAATTATCCCACCAGTAGAAATAGTAAGTAATATTTAGGGTAGAGGGGAAAGAAGCAAATAACTGAAGTATCGTACTCTGATATAATATTGAAAATGGTCCAAGTTTTTTCTTGCCAACCTGTGGTAGCTTTTAGCTTCAAAGTGAGGAAGCATCCATTTTCTATCCAATGTCTTTCTATCCAATGCCTTCCACAAACAGTGCTTTTAAAGATGTCAGCTGTGCTGCAAAAGCAACCCCTTTTTCCTTTAAAAAAAGAAGAGCAAAAGCTGATCTACAAACAAATCTGAGTTCAATTCTCTGGATTAATTTCAAATTGTAACACTACCAACCTGCTGCAGCACACCTACTTTTAATTAAGGACTTCAGGAAGAGGTCTCACTTGCTTATAGTCATTGTTTTGTTCATGTCTGTCCGTCCATCCTATAAAAGCTTGTTAAATCTCCCCAAGCTGTCAAAAACAGACCAGCACGATTTGACTGCCTCACTTCTATTTTCAACTTTCAGTCACTGTTTCTCCACCTTATACCGAGGAAAATATTGCTCCAATGGCACCATTTTATTTTCAGTGATCTAACAGTATGTCTAGTCACCACCCTACAACAAAACTTCGTGGGACTGGGAAAGAGGGGTACACTCATAATTCTAGACAAGACCATACATTTTAAATATTACGCTTATGTGGCTTAGAAGCCCCGATGAATGGCACAATCATAATCCATTATCAAACCAAAAGTATCTGCGACTCAGGAAGCCACCAGTTAATGGTGCTACTTGCTTAGCTATGTGAAGAAGAATGTGTCAGATGAGATAAAAACCAATAGATATTCTGTCGCTGTGTTCCGTTGTAGTTCCATGTTCACCAGCCATTCAGGATTCAGAAGACTCCTATGAACAATGTACCCAGGATTGTGTTAGTCTTTCCTGTACTGACCAATCTCTTCCAGGTCTGTTTCTTTGTACTGGAAATAATATTCAGAAAAGTTGTTGATCATTAGGAGTTGTTGGTAAAAGAAACCCACACTCTTAATTTACCCTTACAAAATGCTGAACTTTGTTTTTTACCTCCTTAAGTAAATTAAGGAGATTTCTGTGTCACTGGAATTGCTTGCTTAGGAAAAAAAATATAAATCATTTGAGATTTTTTAAAATCACTTTTCTGTTCCATCGTGGTACAGATTTTTCTCTTCAGCAATTGTTCTGCCTGCAGTACCAAAGTGCAAGAAATGGCAGCAGCTCTCACTAAGCCACTGGCTCTTTTGTCCCTTCATCAAGTCAAGTGAGCTGCTGCTATAGACAGTCTTTACAAAGTGCAACTTGTCCTTTAAGGTAGTCTCTGCAAGGGCAGATTCTTTTGTGGCTTGGATGAGATCCTGCACAGCTAAACAACAAGAGATCACCCTGGAAAACACAGTGTTTTCTCTTTTCATCAAAAGATGGAACCACAATATCATTTGCAGACTCAGCTGTATGACATTCAATGTTGTATCTGGAAAAGAAAAGGAAAAGTAAGACAACCTATATCACCTGCAATAATTCAGCAAGCAGCAGCAGCAGCATCACTTCCAACTCGTGATTCCAAAGGTAGGTAATGGAAGATTCAGTTCATACATAAAACTGACATCTCAGCAATCGGGTCCATAAGCTGCCCAACTCACAACGTCAAAAATCACACCGATAATTTCAAAAGGGTGTTACAAGAAGGCAGAGCCTCACTTAGGAGAGATTGACACCATCCCAGAACGCCTGGTTACACAAACACCGATGAGCAGAAATGCTATAATCCAGAGTTCTCTTTGACATGAAGTTGCATAGAGTTCACAGTTAAAGTGGATAACTAGAATGTATGAGATCTGTACAATGCAGTTCTACTATAGGCCTATTCATTCATTATATCCCCCCTTCCCTTACATAAAAAGAAAAGTAGGGATGAGCCCACTGGCCCCCACCACTTCCCCAATCCATCATCTACAGCACACTGCCTGTTCTAGTCAAGTAGGCTCTCTGCACAGTTGGAAACCCTGGAAGTTCTAAATCATGTGGCAAGTCTGCTTCAGTAAAGCATGTTTCCAACAAGCAGTGAACTGCAGAAACAGTGATGGAGTGTGCAGAAATCACTCCTTGTTTGCACTTCTCCTCATGCAATGGTATAATCATGTGATGATGGTGAGAATGAGTGATTGGGAATTATGTTGCCTGGGCACTGTGGCACACTCTACTCTGGGAAGTAGTGACTGACTTGTATAGGACATTCCCCAAGCCTATGGGCCAGTTTACACTTTTCAAATTCATTCAGCAAACCCACCTGTATATGCAGAAGTGTGGAGTAAAGCTAGAAGCTGGCAACTATTTTAATGATGATTGAACAAAAAGCAGTGGCAGATGCACATTCACAAACATGATTCTAGTAATGCTACTATTATTCTTTAATTACAACACACACACAATAGAAATCTTCCACACTAATACCACAGTTGACTCACTTCATACAATAATTGCCCCATGTGACAAGTTTACTGGGGGCATATACCCCAACAAACCATGATTTAGCAGACAGTTCTCAGCAATCATAGATGTACGCTAACATACATGTGTGATATCGTCACACGTGAGAGCATACAGGGAGTTATGGGATTTCTTTTCCGCCAGTACCTGCATACATCAGTCTAGGGGAAAGTATTTGAAAGTAGATCTAAACATCAATTGTAACTTGTAGGTGAACGTACGCAGAAGCCAGGGAATTGGATGCAATACAAAGGAAAGCTATGGTAAATTCTGTTTGGTTAGCAACATGCACGGCATCATTTGGTTCAGTTTTCTCTGTCTATTAAATTGTGCTATGCAGGTGTATAGATGCATGAACACAAATGTATTATATTCGAAAGCCTCTGAAGTTTATCTCGTGCTGAGATTGAAACCGTGTTCCAGAGCAACATTCAAAATGCTGATAATGTTTACTTGCAACTTTCTTTTCTTGTCCTTGGAACTGCAGTACTTACTTCAAGAGGTCTTTGTCCTTGTTCAGGTGCTGGAAAAAGGATGGCTCACAGATGAGTTGATTTTCTTGACAAACCTGCTTACATGATTTCCCAGACCCAGCAATTTTAACCTGAAGGGCACTTAATGGGGGCCACATCACTTGCCCGTGGCAGAAATCCTGAAAAAAAGTACATTTCATAATGACAGGGCAAAAAGTGATTTCACTCAATGCGCTGCTGTTATTCAAAGCTTCAATCTCCAGACGGTTCAGTCAAGACTGTAAGGTAGCCAGCATGGATCTCAGGGCTGCCTAGATCTCTGCCAAGTGTATAATCTTGTTTCAAGCTCCTGTCTGAAACTTGAAAGTCACCACCACTCAGGGTAAACAATACACAGCTAGAAGAAGAAAAGAGTTTGGATTTGATATCCCGCTTAATCACTACCCTAAGGACTCTCAAAGCGGCTAACAATCTCCTTTCTCTTCCTCCCCACAACAAACACTCTGTGAGGTGAGTGAGGCTGAGACTTAAGTGTGACTAGCCCAAAGTCACCCAGCAGCTGCATATGGAGGAGCAGGGAATTGAACCCGGTTCACCAGATCACGAGTCCACTGCTCTTAACCACTACACCACACTGGCTAGATGGACCAATGTTCGGTTTTAATAGAAGGCAGCTTTTAATGTATGTTTTCTGTCTAAAAATGTGGGACCCCCAAGGCAATAAACAGCCAACTAATAAAATAAAAATATTAAAAGAGCACTGAAAATGGCTCAGCAACAACAAAAAAGCATCACCAAGCAATCTATTAGAGGTGTGCACTGACCACAAGATTTGTTTTAGACGCTGATAGAGTGCTTCATAGAGTGCCCTCTAGCAGTTAGTTTACTGGTTAAGTGAAATTGGTTGCACAACTATGAGCTTTAGTCTATTCCAGTTCTATTCAACAGAGAACAAGCACTGGTAATATAGTGGCTTACATAGGATCTCTGTGCTCACAAAGTAAGTATTTGTGGATTTGGAGAGCATACCTGTTTCTCTATGAAAACATTCATTCTCTGGAGCATCCCCTCACATGTGAATTCAAAGGGCAGGTAAGGTTCAATCTGTTAAAATAAAATGTGCAGTTTAGTTCCTCCTTGTTGTTTTAAAAAATATTATCCAAGGCACCACTGTAACATATGTTTGTGCAGGTGCTCAGGTATTAGTTATGAAGTTGTTTAGTAAGGCATCTGCCATTCTAAATATTGCTGCTACCATGAAATTAAACTATAAAAACACTCAGCAACTTTCACACCTGTAGTATTTCCTAGCCCAGTTTCCCCTACCATTAAAGCTCTCAGCTACCAGAGAAATAATTTTGTGCTTTTTCAATCTGTAATTCCCCCCCCCCCGAGGCTTCTCATTTGCGCAGGATACATAGTAAAACAGCATCTGCTTTAACAAAGTACAATCTATACATATATTCAAATATGACATTCCAGCTATATTGGATGGGCAGGGGTGGGGAGTTATAAGCTGAGTGCCCCCCTCCCGGTTTCAAGCTCTTAACAGGATATAAATCTTCTATCTTTTGAAATAATATTCATATTTTGCATATTGCATGGTATTTACAATATATAGGTTTTGCATATTAATGGATCTCATATAATGATCCATGTGACTTTGCAACAAGCTGTAATTCATCGTAGCCAGAAAACATAGAAAGTTTTATTTTTGTTGGATTATTTAAGGCTTTTAGTTTCATATTGAGCTCTTTCTGATAAACCTCACACTATCATATGTTTCTGTTCCATATTTATGCATTGATTTACAAATGCAGTGGGTTTTTTAAAACAACAACAACACACAAAAACTGTTAACCTTTTGATTCAAAATTGCTTTCACTGCCTTCTCAACTTCAGAGAGGTCATTGATGTTTACAGTCCAAACATGAGGCTTCCCGATGTAAACTTCAGCATAGGGGTGTTGAGATGTCAACTGAAAGAAAAATGATCAAATGTCATCTTTCCAGGAATCGTGTTCATTTCAGTAGGCAAATTTCAATAAGATGCAAAATGTGTAGATAACATAACACTCCAGCCATTTAGGGGGCTCTTTATTCCTTTGTTTTCAAATCTTTGCTCACATCATCGTAGTCACCAAAAAGGAATTATCTATCAAGATTTCTATAGAACCTAATCATTGAAATGTGGGGCAAGTAACTAGATAAGTGTCAGGGACAGTGTAATGCACCTTGAAAAAGGGAAGCAGACAGTTTAGTGTATCTTGCAATAAAGTATCCTAACATTCTGTTACTAAATTCTGACCTCTTTAGTATCTCTTGCCAAGCTAATTACTATTTATATGAGAATAGTATGCTCAGTCATTTCCATTTGTGTCAAAGCTGGAAGACTCGATAAGATTACTTAATTTGTGAGTTGCCATCTGCAATGACACACTTTTTGTAGCTTGTTTACTTAACGTTTTGAAAAACTTAATACAGCTTAAAAAAACAAATTCAGAGCACATGCTATATAAGCCATCTCTTTTTTCGTATTTTACCTTCATGGTGTTCCAAAACATTCTGCACCCACTCTTTCCATAACCCCCTTTTACCTTGCTTCAAAATATTATAGGCAGCTGTTACTTTTAAGGAAGTGTTCCCACCTGAATTGGCTTTCTCCTGCAGCCACTTCCTTGCCTGATATTATGCATTTGGCAGAGATGCATATGAGGTCATGTAAAGCATTGACATGCACATGTCCCAGCCCCTTGGTAGCCCATGAGTCTGTAGTCCACAAGTCACCTCCTATACTTCTAGATAGCCTCATTAAAAGCCTTCAGAAATAATGCTAAGAGTTATAGTGCTGGGCATTATGCCCAAAATACTCCACTGTTTGATGACTCTTAATGTTAGCTAAAGGCTGGCAAGCAAGACCTTGCTTCCTGCCCAGTGAAGGCTAAAAGGCAGCTAACACGTGTAGATAAACGAGGAGCCTTCAATCCTAATCTCCCTTGCTTTACTTTCTGAATGCCATATTTACAAAGCCAATTCTTGTTGTCGAGACATATTTTGAGGACAAATCCTTATCAGCTTATATTTGCTGCCTGTACAGAGTGAAAGCACCTTGTAAAGCAAACGTTTCTTTTACAAGAAAGAGGCCATTGCCACTCAAGCAGTTTATGAAAAGAATTGATTCCCCCCCCCCATGCTATGTTTATCCCTTTTATTAAGTTAATGGCCCCCTCTGACTGCCCTTTCTAGGAACTAAAACAGGCAAACAAATATTCTTTATATTGATTTAAATACAAATATCATAGAATTTTATTTATACTCTTTTAATAGGCTATGTGCTGTCAGCATACACGATTCAGGTGGTGATGACTGTAAAACATTATAAATATTGAGGAACAAGCTGTTATTTCCAAGTAACAAGAAGTATGCTCAGGAGTGAACATGTGAACTCCATTATCTATGGGAAGGGAGAAGGGTGTGCATACAAGCCCTGGCATAATATCCGCATCCACCTCACCCCCTATCTATCTCTGTGTTTGAATTTGAGTAGAGTCCTGATCAGGAACCTTGAAATGTGTGGCTGCAAGTAAAAGTTCACTGTAGACCTCCATCACCCAACACAGGGAAGGCTGGGGGTGGTGGTGCAAGGACCTTGCCCCTAAAGTCTAGCAAAATAATTCAAGTGGTTTGTTTTTTGTTTTTTCCCCTTGCTGGAAATTGGACAGAGTTTAACTTCCTTGCATTTTGTGTACATAAAGCTAAATAAATGTGCAAACCACCTCACACAAAAAAACACCACCTGTGGCCTGCTTAGAATTACACTCTTAAGATTTTCATACATTGATTTTTGTTTTTAGCAATGGGGATTTTCTGTGTAAACTGAACCAATTGAAAGAATTGAGCACTGATACTATTCTAGATACAAATGTCTAAAAGTAATTGCAGGATATAGGCTCAGAAGGAAACAATCCCAGACCAAGAGTTTGCTATGTTAATAGCAATGAAATCCCATACTTTGGTGATGCTTGAAAATTTAAAAAAGGATGTGCTACAAAAGCTACTGTTGACATGTCCAACCAGCAGTACACACAATAGAAAATTGTGAATATGGATGGTGATTGCTTACCTCTCGGAGTGTTGGCTTGCCTTTGAAGAAATCTGTGTTTTTGCTGCTTTTGGGTGGATTAAATTTTGGATTCAGAAATGCACATCCATTTGCAATGGCCTCTAGAGGGGCAGGTCCCTCATATGGAAAACCAAGACCAACAAAGAGCTGTAAAATAGAAACACTCATAACATTAGTTTTTACTTCATTTTCTCTGCTACATTTAATGTTAGACATTATTCCCTTTCCTGATTAGTTTTAAACTGTAGAATTACGTTAGCTTACTTGTATTCTTTAATGCAATGTTGCATGGATCGATTCTTTTGTATTTATTATTGACACAAGTACAGGTGGTTTGGGGAGGTTGCCTGTGACATAACAGGAGGGTCAGCCTGGACATCTAACTCACAAAGTAAGGCAGCTTCCTGCCCTATATCTGATGACTGCCAAAGGTGCTTGCTTTTGCAACATGCCACTCTCCTGAAAGAGCCATGAAAATATACTGCAAACCTGATAACCTTTCTATAACAGGCGAAAGTGAAAATGATGAAACCCTTTTCCTAAAATAAAACCTTCTCTAAATTAAAAACAAGTTTTATAAAGCACTCTATTTCCAATATTTTTGTAGTGGGCAAGGGAGGGAAAGGAAAAAGGGAACATCATATTTTTAGATTTCTTTACAGCCAAAAGTGCAGTGAAAAAAGGTGGAGCAAGGCACACTGTCTTTCCATTATTGGGAGAATGTATTTTCACCCACTTTCTTGGTAACACATATCACCAAGTCCTAAGCTTTGACCGAAGTCCACTTCATCCACAACCACAATTCACAGACCTCAAGACATTCTAGGCCCATCACAGAGTAACAGAACCACCATGAGATCCTTGCATAAGGAGGAAATATGTCTTTGGGGAATTAGCAAATACTTTGCTTGAACTTGTGGCACACAATGATTATTACACAAATGGCTTAAAATGTCTTGCATAGAGTAGCTGAGCAGGGTGGCATTCTTGAATAAGCATATTCTTCAAACAGCACTAGACTTCCAAAGACCAACGGCAGGTGGCAGCAAAGTTTGCAGGAATGTGTACTTAGTCTACAACAGCGAGTCCAGCTCAAACTACTTGGAAAGCTGTGTGGAAAGGCTGTTCTTGGAAATAGTTTAGCATAAGAGATGAAAGAAGGGAGTGTGAGTGGTCTGCAAAAAGTCACCTGAAAGAAAGTTGCGTAGAAGTACCTGGTCTTATAGACCATTTTGTCTAACCCCAGCCTGATGCAGGAAACCGAGAGCTACATGGCTACTCCTCAGACATCTATATGAGTGCTATCCTGCCCCCTTGGTCTTCTCTCCTTTGGCTAAACCAGGGTTCCCCAAACCTGGGTCTCCAGCTGTTTTTGGACAACCACTCCCATCATCCCTAGCTAGCAGTGGTCAGAGATGATGCGAATTGTAGTCCAAAAATAGCTAGAGACCCAAGTTTGGGAAACTCTGGACTAAACATTCTCCGTTCTTTTAACCCAAAGAAGGCTAACCTGTAGCCCTCCGGGTATTGTTGAACTCCCATGACCATCAGCCCTAGCCAGCATGGCCAGTCATCAGAGATGATGGCAGCTGCAGTCCAAAAACACCTGAAGAGGCGCAGACTGCAATCCCTGACTTGACCTTACCTCATAAAACTTGGTTTTTTATACTGCTCACCATAATCATTGTTCTCGTCTAACCCACTCCACTCTGTTTGTATCTTTATTAAAGTGTAGCACTCATAAATGGGACACTGTGCTCCATTGGGGTCTGATTAGTGAATAAAATGGAACTTAATTACTTTACTTTCCATGTCCTGGAAACTATGACTCTATTGATGCAGTCTAAAGCCAAATTTTTCTTCTTTGCCGCTGCTTCATGTTGCTGACTCATTTCAGCATGTGGCTGGCTACAATCCTGAGGTCCTGTTTGCAAGAACTACTGCCAAGTCAGGATCATCTGTCCTATACCTGTGCATTTGATTTCTCTCACATTGAAGAATTTTGCCTTAGTCTTTACCGAACTTCGTTTGGTCAGCTTCAGCCCAGTTTCCCATCCTGTCAAGGTCATCTTGAATTTTATTTTAATCTTCTGAGAGGTTCTCTCTCCTAGTTTTGTGTTATTTGCAAATGTAATGACTCATTCCACCCTTTTATATTTATAAAAAGTTGAAGCCACAGCCCTGCAGCACCTCACTTGAAACCTCGTTCCAGTCTGATGAGGAACCACTAATGAGTACAATTTCACACCAGCTGTGAATCCACCTGACAGCAATGTCATTTAGCCTGCATTTAAACAGTTTGCTAACCAAGGTACAATGGGGGGGACTTTGTCAAAGTCTCTGCTGAAATATAGACATACCATGAGCATCCCACAACCCACCAAACCTGTAACTCAACAAAGATGATAAATTTATTCTGGCAGGATTATTAATTACAAATTTATACATGTTTCTACTAATACTGCATTATCATCAAGATGCTTTCAATCTGACTCCTTTATAATATATTTAAGTATCTTCCCTGGTAATGAAACGGGACTGACTGTTATGTAGTTTCCTTGATTGACCTTTCCCTAAGCTTTTGAAAATTGGGCAGTCCTGCCTCTTCTCACTTGTTCTCAAGGATTTCTCAAATATTATAGACAAATGTTATCAGAGTACACCAGTGAGTTCCTTTAGTACATGGGTAGGCAAACTAAGACCTGGGGGCCAGATCCGGCCCAATCGCCTTCTCAATCCTGCCCGCAGATGTCCGGGAATCAGCATGTTTTTACATGAGTAGAATGTGTCCTTTTATTTAAAATGCATCTCTGGGTTATTTGTGGGGCAGAGGAATCCGTTCATTCCCCCCCCCCCTTTTCAAAATATAGTCCGGCGCCGCACAAGGTCTGAGGGACAGTGGACCAGTTCCCTGCTGAAAGAGTTTGCTGACCCCTGCTTTAGTACTTTAGGGTGCAATTTGTCTGGCCCTCAATACTTGAACTCGGCATCTTTGTTTCTATTGACTAATTCCTTATCTATCTGAACTGCAATCCTGACTTTCATTAATTATGCTAATTATGCAAGGTTGCACACTTCCTTTTTTGAGAGATGAAGGCAAGACCAAAGTTATGCAGTGCTGCCTTCTCTGTGTCACCCTTTAGCATTTCACCATTCTTACTGAGAAGTCCATTGTACGTACCTGAAAAACCCTTTCTGTTGCTCTCTGCATCTCTAGCCAGCCTCAGCTCATTCTGAGTTTTAGCTTTCCTGACACTGTCCCTACAAGTCTGGATTCCTTGTCTGCACTTGTCCTTGGTTACCTGTCTTCCCTTAAAAATGACCTTTTTATTTTTAGCTCCTCACTATACTTTCACATTGCCTTTTGTATACTACTCTCTCAATCTCTCTCTCTTAGCTGTGCCTCCCTTCTTCAGGAACTCTTGACCACCTGAGGAATTTCCCTATCTAGTATTTCTCTGAGCTTATTAAAATCAGGGTTTCTTCCCTGAAATTCAACTCATTCACTTTTGATGAATTTGAGAATTATTTGGCCACTTTCTCCCAAAGTTTCTGCTACTTAAATGTCCTGACTTTCTCTTTCCTGCTGGTTAAGACCAATCTATCTTACTCTTTCCTCCTTTCTTCTGAAAAAAGGAAGCCCTCACCTAGCATGGCCACATGAATGGGTCTTTCCAGCCATCACACTTTCAGCAAATTGTCACATCTTAAAGTCTCCAGATGGCTCTGGAACCCCATATGACAGGGAGGAAAGGTAATCATTTGAAGGCACCTTTGTCGGAACATGAGCTTCCATGCACAAATCTTGATCTGGACATCCTGCAATGATCCTTGCTATTGGAGAGGGGCAAGTTTTAATCCCCAAAAGCTCCTGGCAAAGGCTGCTGCTGAGAATTATTAACTTGTAAGTCTTAAGTGGGCAGGATTCAGGCTCTTTTGAGATGAACAATACTGGATATTAAAGCAACAAATTTTTAGTATAGATTATGAATATACCTCTTCAAAAGAAAAATAGGGCAAAGTGCCATCTGGCTGCAAAATGTTATAACCCTTATTACAGAGTGCCTTTTGTGGAGAGGCTGACAGTGAAATACAGGAAAAGAAAACCTCCTAACAAAACCTACTGTTGTATCAAACTGCATTATGAGTTCCCACTCTTTCTTTTAAAAGCAGATTTAATGGGCTCAACATTTACAGAGAACAACCTGATCTATTTCTGCATTCCCATGCAGCAAACAAAAAAGGTAGACAAGTCTGATAAGCAATTAAATTATATCTTTTAATTAGCAGCAGCAGAAACATGGCCGAACCATTAATTAAAGGACTTTAAAATGTCACCAACAATTCAGCAGTGGCTGAGTTTTAATTAGTTACAGAAAATGATACTGGATGGGTAGATAAGCATTCTTCACTTTTTACCTCGACACTGTTGGAACATCTTTTCTGTTCTATATGCTGTCAACTTATTTAACAAAAGCTCCTTAGGGGAGAGTGTGTAGCTCACATGTCTTGACAGCACAGGGGCTTCTGTTACCACTTAATAATAAATACAGCACCAACTGTCCTCCACTCATATTAAATAGCTGCTACCATCTGTGAAGTGTAACTTGGAAGTAACGGCACTACAAACTTCACCAATTGGATCAAAATTATAAGCAGCACATACCACCATTTCAATAAGAAAGGAAATTATTTTACTGAATGATGTTTTGCTTCACTTTAAATGAAAATCTTCTTTCAAAAAGATCCCATGCAAGCAAATCCTTTTGGCCTTTTTGAAAGAATATTTTCAGTATTTTTGTGGAAATGTTCTTTGCTTTTTTTGGCAGGAACACGGATGTATTTGGTGTTTAATACTTTTGAAATATTAAGATTTTTGTTGAATTTTTGTCACTTGTACTGTCTGCATTTGAATTATTTTGTATTCACATTTATTTGTTCTTTGTGAGCTGCCTTGGGAACCTTTTCAGGCTGATAGGTAAATAAAAAGTAGCATAACAGAAACACAACATAATAGAATAAACAGCTATTTGTGTGTATTTGTGTAAGAGGGATTTTGCCTCAAGTTTGCTGAGCCAAATTATAAAGTGAGTTTATGTGGGAAGAGTGTTTCTGAAATCATCAAACTTGGTTCTCATGCATGCAAAACTTCTAGAGGGTGGAGGGGCGGACATTTAACAGTGAAAGCTTTTCATTTTTCTAAACAAACTTAACACACATATGAAGCACCATCCCAATAAGAAATTGAAACCAGTGGAATCTTTGGAACACTGGACATTGGCAAATGTTTAGAGCTGTTATGGTACAATGAGCATAATGTGCCAAGCGCTTCATGTGGGGGGGGGGAGTAAATGCATTTGGATGCACATGTATTTTAATCTTTTGAGGTTTTGCTGCTGCTGCTTCTTTTTTGCATACCAGCCAACTTACCTTTGTCCCTCTCAGCAGGAACTGCAAATCCCGGCCACTGAGGATGCCATGGTTTTTAACATAGCTGGGCATGTAGACAGTACTTGTCCCGTGGACAGTTCCATGAACTTCTGTATAGGTATGAATGACATCCAAATAAGCTTTCTTATCCTAGTAAGGAAACATAAGCCAACCAAAACTGAGTCTTCACATAATGCAGAGGCCTATCTATCTAATTACCCACCACCACTACACAATACAATATCTCCTGCTGCTCCAAGACTCCCCTGATCCTACGGAGCAGAATTTCAAGGGCCAAAGGGGCTGTAGCAGTGGTCAGATCAGCAAAAAATGCTGCAGTACCCCATCAGTACTCCCACCATTGGAACTAGTTAAAATCTAAGCTCTTATTTCACCAAGAAGACTGGTTATGCTAAGTTTTGGGCCCCACACATCTGAGCCACACAAAATAATTACTGACCCTCTCCCAAATTTAACTCCACCTATGCAAGTGCTTTGAAGAAAAAAGAATCCCTCTCATCACCCCCAGTTCACAAAAGCTTAATGGTGGAGTCACGCTGCTCATTACATACATGGTGGCATTTAAAAATTCTTCTCTAGAGTGAGCCAGAAAGTCTCTTGGTTTCCCCCCATATCCTAGGACTTGAAGCAATGTGGAAAACTAGGTGCTTTGTTTCGAAGAAATTTATTTCATAAAAAAAACCCTTGACCTGCTTTCCTTTTCTCTAGAACTCATTCAAAGATGGGTTGTGAAGTGCTCAGTATAGAATAACCCTTGAAACATATTGCATGAATGAGACTTCTCAACTGTGTAAATCAGCAACCTCAAAGTCTGGTTTCTAGTTGAGAAGTAAATGTACCCTTTGTCTCCACTGGGATCAGAAAGCACAAGTTTGTGTTTTGCATCCCTCAGTTCCATCACATGCAACAGCAACACACTATTCCCTGTTTGTTGGTTAAAAGCCACGCACAGATGCTCATTCAAAGGTTACAGGAGACTAGGAAGAATCTTCCTGCCTTGAGCCCTGTAAAATCCAAGCATCTTCACATATATTTGAATTATCAGTTTAAGAACACAAAACACACTAGCTATTACATCTTCTAACGGAGAGTAAATATATTGTAAGAAGTTTTATTTAATTAAAATTTATTTCAAGATTTCAATACCACACTTCATTCTTTTGGGGTTTTCATGATGGTGTATGATCAGTGATCTTAACAGGGCAATAGGACAATAAATAAAATCCAGAAAGTGCCCCACCCAGAAAGAAACCCATTAAAATTATTTGCTTCCAAAATGGTCCCTCCCACATGGCAACACTGGTGCCCTGCCAGGCAAGCCTCTTTGCGGGGGGAGGGGGTGTTTTGTAGTTCAGTGTTTCCCAACCTTTTTTGGGCAAAGGCACACTTGTTTCATGAAAAAAATATCGAGGCACACCACCATGCCAGATGGGGAAAGGTCACTTTTTACTTATGTAAAAAAAAATAAAAAAAATAGTAACAGCATAGAAGGTAATGGTTATCTCTTTGATGTCTGATGGGAGGGCATTCCACAGGGCGGGCGCCACTACCGAGAAGGCCCTCTGCCTGGTTCCCTGTAACCTCACTTTTCACAGTGAGGGAATTGCCAGAAGGCCCTTGGCACTGGATCTCAGTGTCTGGGCTGAACGATGGTGGCGGAGACGCTACTTCAGGTATACTGGACCGAAACCGCTTAGGGCTTTAAAGGTCAGCACCAACACTTTGAATTGTGCTCGGAAAGGTACTGGGAGCCAATGTAGGTCTTTCAAGACTGTCGTTACGTGGTCTCGGCGGCAGGTAGCAGCGCTCACAGCTTACGGACTGCACCGTGTAACAGGTGTCTGGCCCAGCAGCCTAAGGCGGACAAGCCACTGAAACAGGCATTCAGAATCCATTCATTTCATAAAACCTGCAGGGCTCAATCTCTGTGTTTGTGTATGTGTGTGTTTCTGTTTTGCCCAAGGGTCTGGGGGTGGGAGAGAGCTCTTTAGCATGATGCTTTTAAAACAATTAAATTATCAACAAACAAACCTGATGATACGAATAGCAACGTCAGGTGCTACCGGGGGGGGGGGAGAGAAGGGGGCCTACTCGGAAGTAAATACTGCGTCCAGGCGCAATTAGCGCTGATTTAAGGTGCACCAAGACTGCCTAAAAACCTCACCAAAGATATGCAACAAAGCGCTTCGTTGCAGAGGGGAGAGTTTGTGCACCGTGGAGGCTGGAGGGCTTCTATTCTACATGCGGGGGTTGGGGGGGCGAGGAAAATGTGCTCCGTGGGGGGGCGGGGAAGGCAAGAAAAGGAGCTGAGCTCTAACTATAGGCTCCCACACTTGAGCACGCCCGACTCGGTGGGGTGGACCACCCTCTCTCCTGGAGGAGGAGGAGGAGGAAGAGGAGGAGGAGATTCCCATCCACGGTGTGGCCTCCCGCGCTCCTGAACGGGAAATCTCTGCAGCCCAAGACTCTCCGCGAGGCAGCTCCTCCCTTCCTGCCTTGAGCCGCCGCCAGCCGCGCCCCCCTCCCCAGTTATCTGCTGCCTGCCAAGCCCCGCCCCTCTTCATTGTCCTCCCCTTCTGTTTATTCCCCTTCCTCCATCCCTCGCTTTTTTCCCTCTCTTTCCTTTTTTTAAAAAAATATTTTCTCTTCCTCTTCTTTTTTTCCACCCTTTCTTTTTTCTCTTTCTCCCCCCCCTCCCCGCCCTCCTGGGTTAAAGGATTTGAGCAATGGGTCTGGAGGTGGAGCTCGTCGGAGGATTAGCCCGCCTCGCCCGCCTCCCTCCCACGGCACACTAGGCAACGTCCGGCGGCACACTAGTGTGCCGCGGAACACCGGTTGGGAAACACTGTTGTAGTTGACGGTCCACCACTCAAAATCCTTCTCTATTGCTGTTGAAGATCACACATCCAGTAAAGGAGGAGATGATGATTTGGTCTTCCCTTTGGTCTTAAAAAATTGTCCTCCTTTTTGGACTACAACTCCAATCAGTTTTTGATCCCAAGATTTCAGCAGTCTTCAGACCCCTTCCTTGAACATGCTTCCACCTAGCTTTCCTTGGAGCTCAGATCTCTTTCCCTTGCTCACTTCCCCACTATAGTACACACAGCCAGTTCCTGGGCTTATCTGTAAATTCCAAACCCTGTCTTCATGAAAACCCAAGCCAGAAAAAAAGAATTAAACAGCTTGGCTTAATTTTTCTGATTTCATTAAACTCAATCAGGTTGGAGTTTTTGTTTTTTTTAATGCAAATTCTTCCTTAAAGAGAAGTATACCTAATTAACTTGTTTTGTATGGTTGTTACGTTTTAAAAAATTGTATGGTGTTCTTGATGTAACCCATGTTTAGACCTTATGGTGAAGAGCGGGTAGGAAATTTTAATAATGGTGCTGATGACGACAATAACAATTCTAGCATCTACAAACTCTCACACATTATTTAAATGACTGTGGTCTTTGAAACAGAGCTTGAATCAAGATCAGTATGGGGCTGCTCAGACAGATGCTAAGGTGAGATTAAAGCTCTTGGTTGTTCCTTTGATCAAGCAAGATGCATTCCCAGGTGATGGGTACTATGAGAACACCTTCAACACACACACCCCACTCACACTACTCCTTTAAATCTCTGTGCTTTGAAGGAAAAATGTGGAGGGGGGCATTTGGGATCAACCAACAGGCAGTAGGAGCATGCCTTGCTCGATACTTTCAACACATCCCTCCCACATTTCTCCTTCAAAACTCTGCAGAGACTTGAAGGAGAAACTCAAGGGTGTGTGTGAGAGAGAGAGGGAGAGAGAGAAAGAGAGAGAGAAAGCCCTTTGTAAACATCCCCATTGGTGGATGTTTACAAAAGGGCTATTTGAAAGCCCCACAGTATGCTTTGAAGTCCAATCAACGATGGAGTGTGTGTGTGTCTTCAAAAGGAAGAACCTCTCAACATCACTATGATAGCAGCTATCAACTTCAGTCCATGGTGGGGTATGTGTGAGAGAGATAAATATCTAGCCAGAAAAGACTGCCCACCCCTGCTCCATAGGAATGTTCATATTCTAATCCAAAGTGTTTTAGAGCACGATGTGGTTACCGTGAATATAATAGTAAATCATGTCATATTTTCTTTTGTACAGTATTATAAATTTTAATTTCTTAATCCATTTAGAATTTACAATACTTTTTTAATTTCAAGGATCAGCTCACACACCAAGTGAATTATCTGAGATTTAGTTCTTTTTCAGTGTTCAAAGGGCAGGAGGAAGGGATGGTGGGAACAGAAGAAACGTTTTAAGGAAAGGTTGCTTAGAAACAGAATGGACTTGTTAAATCTTTTGACACAGATTAGGATAGGCAGGGCTAGTACTTGTTTGCAACTGGAATAGAGAGACAAGATACATAAAATGGGTCAAACTAAGGCCACATATTTATTAACTTAACTTCTGCGCTGCAAATGAAACAGTGCAATCAGCTAATTTCCATTGACGGCCTCGGTCCTGTATACCTGAAGAAGCGTCTCCACCCCCATCGTTCAGCCCGGACACTGAGATCCAGCGCCACGGGCCTTATGGCGGTTCCCTCACTGCGAGGTTACAGGGAACCAGGCAGAGGGCCTTCTCGGTAGTGGCACCCGCCATGTAGAACACCCTCCCATCAGATGTCAAGGAAATAAGCAGCTATCCTACTTTTAAAAGACACCTGAAGGCAGCCCTGTTTAGGGAAGTTTTTAATATTTAATGCTGTATTGTGTTTTTAATATTCGATTGGGAGCCACCCAGAGTGGCTGGGGAAACTCAGCCAGATGGGTGGGGTATAAATAATAAATTATTATTGTTATGACTGCCTTGGATGCACCAAGTCCTGTCCTCAGCAAGGGTAATGACCAGGCATAGCTCCATTGCCTAGGCATTAGCTTCCAGTGAACAGGGATGCCTTCCTGATCCTGTCTCATGCCAGGGCCTTACAACTCAAGGCACATGAGGTATCCAGGCTAAGGGCCCCACAACTCAGAACATCGAGCCTCCAAAATGCCCAATGAGGCCAAGGGGGGAATGGCACAAACCCCACAGCCATGCCCCCGATAGAGATGTTTATGTGTGTGCAAACCTCTACATGCATGTCCATGCATCTTATATCTTCCTG